ACACTGTATCCCGACTCATTAGGACTCATTTACCAGAAGGCAACAGTGCCCCGCCCAGATGCCTTGTTGTATTCTGCTGAAATACATAGAGGGAAAGTTTTGATCTGAAGTTTGGTGCTTATTACTGTACAGTGACTTGGGCGCCCAGAGGATTCAGAGCCGCACGGAACCCCCCGGGAACAGGACCAGAACCAGAACCGGAGCAGAAACGTACCTCCAGACCCATCAGCAAATCCGAGAGCTAGTAGCCAGCTCACAAGGACTTCAGAGTGTGGGCGGTGCCGCTGAAGGTCCGGCTACTCTCTGGAGCACAACGGGACTTAATTTTACCCCCCCACCCCCACCCCAATCTCTATCGGACCACTGGTTCTGCGCCGGCTGCTTAAAGGTCCGCCTTGTTTTGCAACCTTCTGCTACTGATAAAGCATCAAGTTAAACATTTGAGGAAAAAACATACATTCCACTGAATGTACAGTTAGAAATAAAACATTTATTTAAATTTACAAAATAAATCTAGTTGCAACTTTTGTTGAGAAGCCTCATCTCAGACTTAAGTTAAACTAATATTATAAAGGTGAAAGAAACTGATTTATAAAGCATTTAATCTGAAAGAAAAAAAAACTGGATATTCATGACAAAGTTCTTAGTGTTTCACTAAATATCCAGAAGCATAATGTGCGTTTTAGCCCCCCAAACCCTAAAGAGACTTATCCACATTTCCATCCTGCACAGAATCTATTTTTTTCTGCTCCAGTTTTACTGCAGGTGTTCAGGTGTTCAAGTATATGCAGTGCTTTATATTTGCACTCAAGGGCGTGCTGATTTCAAACAAACCATTTAATTATATTCTCCGCCCTCAAGTCCTTTTCAGGGTTATTTCCATGCTCCCCACAATTGTTTTAAACTAAACATGCAGTGTGCCAAGGCTGCTTTATGACTAATCAAAATGTTCTTAACAGTGAATTTAAAAGAATCACTTTGCAATTCAGCTCAGCCCATTTCACACAATCAAACATTTTCTACATGACTGGCTCCACAGCATTTAAAACATGCTGGAGTACAAAACTGTACTTCAGTTTTAATCAAGCCTGTGTGCAAAAAATGAGACCCTTGACCACAAACTAACTCGTCTTCTTTTCTATACATTTCCACTCATTATAAATCCACTGCAGTGGAGACGTGCACACAGACAAAGTTCATGTTGAGTTAATGTTAATGTTAGCCATCAGAGGGAATGTTTCCTAATCAGTCAACTAGCACTGAGAGTAACTCTGCATGTACAAGTACCAAAAGGTTTTGATTTGATCTTTTCACATTGGCACACATGTATACCAAACACACGCAGGACTCTCCATTCCACCACAACTTTTACATGAAGTGAAAACACAAAAAATAGAGACTAGAGCTGGAGGAAACCCGCCATGATTAAAGTCTGCTGTTCAGAGACAACAGTTTTTTAGTCAATGGAGGTGGACAAAGGAAGGTGCATCAAATGAAAATGGAGATTGAATAACTAGCAAAACAGTGGAGTGGGGGAGATGTCACGCCTGCTTATACTTACTTGCCATGTAGAAAAATGAAAATGTGGTAGCAGCTGCTACAAGCAGCTCACCATTTTGTTTAAAGCCAGAATGCTTCTCTACTTATTTTTAAGTGTTCAAGTTACTTTGAGTGGTTTGATGTATTTTAAGTCATGAGATTGTTAGTTTGTTAAATGAAAGTCACACTGACAAAAAGTAGTGTTGTATATCAGCCATGGGCTGCTTTGTTTTCCATTAATTTGTATGTGCAATAGAAACTGATATTGTTCTACCTATAAATGAATGCTTTAGATTAGCATTAACAGCAATGGGGACATAGCGGACTCCACGTTGAACTTAATAATCAGCACTTCTGTTGGCCTTGCTGCCATTTTAAGTGCTTTATAAATATAGGGGTATGGTATAACAGTTGAAAAATCATCCATCCATTATCTTTTACCCGCTTCTTCCTTTTTTGGGTTGTGGTGGTCACTGGTGCCCGTGTCCAGCGGTCACTGTGTGAAAGGCGGGGGACACCGTGGACATGTGTCCAGCACATCACAAGGCCACACAGAGACAAACGAGAAAGAACCATTTACACTCTCACTCACACCGAGGGACAATTTAGAGTTACCAATCACATGCATGTTTTTGGTCTGTGGAAGGAAACTGGAGTACCCGGAGAAAACCCACGCATGCACGGAGAGAACATGCAAACTCCACCCAGAAATGTCCCGAGCCGGGATTTGAACTGGTGACCTTCTTGCTGAGAGGCAAGAGCTCTACCAACTGTGCCACCGTACCACCTGATAAAGCATCACTTGAATGTAAAACATAACTGGAACAAAGGGGAAAACAAAAAGAGTACTACATACAGCACATAGGCCCATTGACAAACTAATAAACATCAACGTTAAGTAATGGCCGGGACAAGCAAAGCCCTTGTATAACCTTTGACCTTGAAATGTAATGTTGACCTTGAAGCTGGGGTGATAAAAGTATATGCGACATTGTCTAGTGATGATGCATGTGTATGTAGTTTCACTGTTATCTTCAGCGGATCAAAAGTTATGGGCAGGACAAGTGAAAGTTTACAGATTTACCATTATTCATCTACCTTCGCATAAAAACCAAAGTCCAAACCACACTGCCTGAAGCATTCAAACAGCCCTTTACTACCAACTCTGACCAGACAGGATCTATAACAAATGATGCACGAGTTCCTTTAGCAGCACATGTGTGATCATAGGCCTTTGTCAAAAATACTGGTTTTAAACATGTTGGAAGTAACAGAACACAGTTACAAAGTTCCAATAATTTCTCTGCACCACCACTCCCCTTCCTTGACCTCTTCAGTGATTCTGCTCAATACGTATATGTGCCCAGGTGCATGTTATGTACACATTTGTGTCAAGATTGTTAATAATGTATCCACTTCAATACCTCTTTCCTGCAGGGTCCCACAGGGCTCGATTCTTGGATCCCTTCTGTTCTCACTATTTGCTCCCACTGGGGTCTATCCTGAGGAAACATGATCTTTCATTCTATTGTTATGCTGATGATTGTCAGATTTACCTCCCTTTGAAACCAGCTAGTGCTTGCTCCATTCATTCTCTCCTTAAATGTCTGGATGACAATAAGGTTGGACGACATTAAGGCATGGGTGGCTTCAAATTTTTTAAGTTTTAATGATCAAAAGACTGAAGTCGTTGTCTTTAGCCCTAGCTCAACCTCTGATCCTGTCAACCTGGACTCCCTTTAGCCTTATCTTAAGCAGTCCATTAAAAATTTTGGCATGGTTTTAGACTTGGACTTCAAGTTTGACAAACAAATCAACTCTGTTTTGCAGAAAAGTTTATTTTAATTAAGACAGGTAGCTAAGCTCAAGCCAGTGTTGTCCAGATCCGACCTTGAGAAACTACTCCATGCCTTTATCACTATCCGATTGGACTATTGCAATGTACTCTATGCTGGGGTCAGCCAGGCCTCCATTTCGCATCTCCAGCTCATATAGAATGCTGCCGCTCGTCTCTTAACCGGAACTCATAGTTTCAGCGTATTACATCAGTTCCATCCTCCCTTCAGTGGCTCATTTTAAAATTCTTCCGTTGACCGATAAGTGCCTAAATTGCCTCACATCCCTTTATTGCTCTGAGCTACTGGAACCAAATGTTCCATCTCGGGCCCTGAGATCATCCGATCAGCTGCTTTTGGCGGTTTCTAAAACAAGACTGACGCACAGAGGTGATCAAGCATTTTCAGTCATGGGTCCCAAAATCTGGAACAACCTGCCCACCCAAACATTAGACAGGCCACCTTCCTTCCTGTGTACAAATCTCTGCTAAAACACACCCGTTTTCTCTGGCATTTCACACAGTTAGAGTTAGTTTAGAGTTGATTTAGTATTTTTTGTTCTGTGTACTTATAATTAAATACATTATTATAATAAAATATATAATGCTGTTAATTTTTCAGTATTAATCATTAGTTGTTTTTTATTTTTTTGTCCATGAATTTTATTCTTATTGGTGTTATTGTTACGCACTGTGACAACAGCTTCTGTTTAAAATGTGCTCTACAAATAAAGCTGACTTGACATTTGTTTCACTTAATGCAACTGTTATTAAAACAATCTGGATTCAAAATAAGGTACGTATCAAATGGTGAAATTTGTGTACTGTTACACATTTATTAAGCACTGTAAAAAATGTCATGAATATTAAAAATCAAGCTGTAGTAAACACATTTTTTATGCCAATTTGTTGACGTGATTACGCTGCAGTCAAACAATCACTTGCAGTCCCACTGAGCAAACTCTCCTTGTCCTCCAGCCTCATTACACTGAAACGATCCGCTTACTCTGACTGTTGACGTTTCAGCAGAAGAAAAGGAAAATGCTCGTTTAGAAACTCTGGAGCTTCTCCACTGAACATCAAGGTTTCGGTAACCTTGACCAAAACAGCATGCTGCTAAAATCCAGCAGCTTTAGCTATTATCACCCCGCTCCTGCCACACAGAATCAGTACCGGCTTCGGTAGAATATATTACCCTCCGCCCATTAAAAGCAACCTGAGCTCATTAACAAGTTGAAAAACAAGCCGCAAGCAGGAATCTTTTCCAACATGGGCAACTTATTTTGCGAAGCCCGTCCCACAAAAATCTTATTTATAGAATGTGTTCATAGCACCTAATATCAGTCCATATGTTCCTGCCTGATAAGCTAAATAATTGGTAGAACATAGCAATTTTATAGCTTAATGTGCCAACTCACTATAATTAGATGAAGTTGGAGGGTTTTCAGCAGTCCATTAAATAATTTCTAACACAAACAAAAAAAAAAAAAAAAACCACTGACTGCAACATGAAGCCTTCAGTATGAATAATAATATTACAAAGACCCAACAATGTGAGTCTATTACGTGCAGCAAAATGATCAAGGAGGCTCGGGCTATTGTACAGCATCATAAACAGTCAAGTTACCTGTTATTTTATCTCGGACAAGTTTACAGGACTCAATTTCTCCGATGCTCCCAAACAAACTCTTCAGCTCTTCTTGGGTCATGTTCTGAGGCAGATAGTTGACTATCAAGTTAGTTTTACTGTCCTCTATCATCCCCGACTCTACAGGCGAGGAGCAGTTGTTTGAAATTGACGAAGGACCGTTGCTCGTGTTGTTGCAAGTTGGACCGTTGGACAGCTGCGTTTCCATGGTAGCAATAACCTGCTAAAGAGACAAGAAAGACAAGTGAAAACTGCATGTAAATTGATAAAAACACTCAAATATTACCTGTTAAAAAGGACGCTCTTCACACATTGAACACTTAGTTGAAAATACTTAATTGTAGATGACTAAATTGTCATCCACAGGTTTGCAGCTTCTTTGTTTTAAACCGAATGTCCCACAACAGTAATACGGAGTCAGGATTAGGCAGAATCACTTCGACTATGTGCTTTTAATGCACTTCCAACATTTTTTTTTTTTAGTTTTGTTTAAAGCCTTTTTTCTTGTAGCATAGTTAGCATGCTTGACAAAAATACGTCTCCACAATACTCTAGGGATATAATATACATACCCCCTTAAAAATGGCTCTCGTGACAATATATTTGTTAGCTTAAATATATCAAAAAATAAAATAAAGTGCTTTTTTGAGTCTTTAATGTTCACTTCAAGTTCTGAAAACAGAAACAAAAAAAAAAAAGCTTTTCGCCTTTCTTAGTCCAAAATTTTTATTGTATTTATCCAAGATGTTTAATATAGAATTACTTACGTTTATTGATAAAATGTGGGTTTCCATAGACTTATTTAAAAAAAAAAAAAAGTTGCTTTCAATTTAGTATTGGAGCCGAATGGAGATTGTCCAAGGGCCACTTACGGCCCTCTGCCAATATGTTGTCCATGTCTGCTCTACGAAGAACTAAAACAAAATCTACCCTGAAAGGTTCAGCATTTAATGCCACAACGTAGCATTTTTGAAGCTCATCTGTCAGATTGCATGTGGTTATCAAAATGAAAAATTTCTGAACATTCTGATGCATGCTCAATAATCCAGGTAGAAAAATCTAAAAAAGTGAAGTCAGGTCCTCTGGACGTTCAAAAAATAAAATAAATAAAAAATTGTAGAAACGTTTCGTCTTTCATCCAAAATTGAAGAAGTCTTTCAGATGAAAGACGTAACGTTTCTACTTTTTTTTAACGTCCAGAGGACCTGAGCCAACTTTTTTAGATTTTCTGACCATCATCCTGCAGCAGCACCAAACATGCAGCTGTCACTGCACTAACAGACAACAAGCTTTCAAGATAAATACCACTTAAAGCAACCAGCAACGATGTTTGAAGAGCTGTCCTTAATTAACACATTCACCTCGTGCAGAAAACAGATCAGTGTCACACAGTCCAAATTATTCACATTTTAACTAGGTGTGCATACAGAGCATGAATTGTGGAAGAAAAAAGTTTTCTTAGAGCCGTGAACAGATCCATGTTAAGAGGAGCAGACAGTTTAAGACCATACCAAATTAATCATTAACCCCTTGAGGCTTTTAATTTTAATAATAATAATAATAACAATAATAATAATAATAATTCGTTAAAAAAAAGCACCTTTCAGGAAACTTTACAGCAAAAAACATATCAGATAAGATTGTGTAAAAACAAACAGTGCAAAGACCAACAGGCATAAATTGAAATATAAAATACATAAAGTTCAGAAGGATAAGCTAGTCTCTAAAGAGATGTGTTTTCAGAGTAGTCCTGAACAGAGAAGGACAGGTGGTGGTGTTATTTTCTTCTAATTCCCAAATTTGAACCATGATCGAACAGAGCTCAACACTGAAAAGTGACAGAGCTTGTGCTGATCATTGGTATGGCCTGTGCGCTGACACAAAGGCAGGCCTTATGGCCAAATAATAATAAAAAACACAAACAAAAGAAGTGCCACAGACCCCAGTCCAAGGCTCAGGCGCCCACGAACCACTTCTAAGCAGAGAAGCCACATCACACAGTCTGACTGCCATGTTAGTTTGGAGTTGCCGTCTGAAAACATGGACAAAAAGTACTTCATGTTAGAACAGCAAGTAGAAAAGCGACAGATGATCACGTGACTGGTGGAGGATGGAATGAAGGCCTTTTCATTAAATATGTTTTATTGGTCGTCCAAACACATCAACTGAAACAAAAAACAAAAGCCAATCTTCCTCTTGGTCAAAATTAATGTGGAGTTCGGCAGAAAATGGATTCCAGTCTAGACAACAGGGTAAAATGAAGATTAAGGACTGGCGACATGGTGAAGCACGGAAACAGAAGAGCAAACCTCAGCTGGCTGCTGCTCTGCTCACTGCCAGCATAAGAACTGATCCTCAATTTAAAGACACATGGTCCACGATTAAAAGCAGGAAAAAAGCAAATAAAGTAAAGCAAAACCATAAATCATGACAAGCAGAACCACAGCTCAGATTTATTTTAAATTAAATAAACCAAGACTCATGAAAATGATTTACAAGAACAAAAAAAATAAAATACAGCTTCAGTTTAATAATTATTCAACTGTAAAACTGAATTCGCTAACAAAGCCATTTAAAGATGATGGTCAAATATTAACTAATCCATGAAGCAAATGAAGGTCTCATGTTGGGAGACAAGTCTGTGAATCAGGCTGATAAATGACCTTTAAAAAAGGAATAAACTCAGTTTTAAACTCCAAAACTCCATCAGCATTTGAAAAGTCATCTGCATGTTGAGTGATTATGACCAACTAGACCAGGAGTCTGCAACCTGCAGCTCTGGGGCCACATGTGGCTCTTTGGTTCCTTTGCAGTGAATCTTTCAGGCTTTCACCAAAACTAAAATAAAATTTAGTTTAATTTAAATGATTACCAACAATAAAAACAGCTAGTTTCAGCAGATTCCATCATTTTCAAATATGGGAAGGATAGTACAAATACATGGTGTAAAACATGTGAACATCGTGCTAGTAGCTTGTTAGCTATTTTAAGTCTACTTCCAGTCTCACAGCCTGATCTTTCTCTCAAAACCACCAGAATGTTTTGGAATATCTTTAAGACAGGTTCCTGAGAAGGAAAATGGTGAGTAACTGATAATACTAAGAATAAAACACACACACACACACGCACGCACGCACGCACGCACGCACGCACGCACGCACGCACGCACGCACGCACGCACACACACACACACACACAAAAAGAGTTAAAGTAAACAAAATTATTTATCTTTAAAAATGTAATTGGATATTCAATAAGCTGACCTCATCTTATGTCTTTATGCTTTAAGTAGGATACTTAATTCTTCAACAATTGAGAACTCGCATGCAGAGTTCAGTGTTTTAATTTTTATAAAAATTATTAAAAACCATTTTTATTTCTTTACATGGATCCGTTTTTTTCTTTTGTAATAAAATGTTAAAATATAAAATGTTAATAGCAAGACATTTTTCATTTTATATCACCCCCACTGACCAGAAAAGCCATCTCCAACAAACTTGTAGAGGCCCGCAGGCCACCAGTTGACAGTACACAGTTGTAGTAGGTTTTGCGGCTCCGGACGCATCGTAATTGGTAAGCAAAGTGGCAAAAATGGCTCTTTTTACTGCAAAGGTTGCAGACCCCTGAACTAGACCAACTACATTTCTTATGACCAGTCAAATTTTAACATTCTTAAAACTACATATAAAACAAAAAATAAAACACTTAAACAAAAAATAAAACACTTAAACAGTTTAAAACGTTTGTGCAATGCATGGAACAGTGTTGTAATTCTTGATACTTTTTTGTACTGCAGTGACATCGTTGCCTGCACGACCAAACACTAACCCATCGTTTGAATTCTTAGGACACAATCTGTGCAGCCACCTCTATCACATGAGAAGCCCCACTGACACTGAAATCTTAAACTCTTTCTAGAGTAGTGATCTGTCTGCCATGTGGGCAGGATTTAGTAGGCGAAGCGCTTGGTTCTGTTGACAGGGCGGGGCACCCTCTTTTGATAATGGTAGGGGAGACGCAGCAGTGAGTTAATCTGACTTCTGGTTAGCTGTTCAGAACAATCGAACTAAACAAATGTTCAAAGTTGATTCTCCATAGTTCCACTTTCAGCAACAAGTTTATATTTACTACGCCAGATCTACTGTTGATATTTTCAGCTCCTCCCGTCCTCCACTATTTTTTAACAACTTTCATTGTGTTTTTCTGCTTGAAACAAAACTTCATGGCAAATCAATCACATAAGAAGTCTAACTTCCAGACGGGGAGCAGAGATTGTAGCAGCTCAGACCTAGCATTAGTCCTGTAACGCTTCACTACAACGACCCCCACCCCGCCCCCAACACCAGGCACTACTAACAACGCACTACTACAGCCCCACCCTCCCGGCTGACAAGCACCAACGAACGCCCTCTTAAGGCAAGTAACCTTGGGGAAACACCATTATTACATACATTATTACTACCTAAGCCAGTATGTACAATGCACAGGTTTACAGTAGAACTGAATCGCAGCATTAGTTCAGATTTTATTTTTAAAGGTTCATCATAAATACAAGGATTTTTTTATTGTCATACCAGCTCACATTTGCATGTTTGTGGTATGAAATTCGGACTCGGGTTCCAGATCAAGAAGCCTAAAGCCCCCAGTATACTCCCGCGTATGTCCATACGCAGAGGTACCCGCGTACCTCCGCAGGGCATGTCCACGCAAAGCTTAATTTTTACGACAGCGTACGCAGTGTCACAATAAACTGCCTGGAAACGGACCGTTTTGTACGCGACACCAATGTATTAAATTCCCCTTCTTCATCCCTGATATGGCCTTTTCTTTTGTTTTTTTGCCACGAGACAAGTGATCTCTTCCTCCTCCGTTGATGCCATGACAAATTGTGAGAAATGAAGGAATTTGTCATGAGCGAATTAAAATCAGTCCCAGCGTGGCTGCGGGAAGGTTGGGCTGATCTGATGTGTGGGCTGCAGGGCCAGCGCTCCCTGTTTTTATTTATTTTTTGCAACTTTTTATTAACATATAAACACAGAACATCGCAGCTCTCTTTTTTTTTTGACCAGTCAAATCAATCCAGTAAGCGTGTCAGCAAATGATCAATCGGCGACCTCAATTTGTCCCAAAGGTAAATGCCCCTCGTCTGCGAAGCTCCTCTACAGCCGCTCAGAGTGGACGATCGAGTATGAAGTAGGGTATTAACAGAGTACTTGAGTAATCTACACATCGATTGCTAGGACATGGTGTAACACCGAGTCCAATCCACCGAACCAGAACCGGCTTCCTCTGACCTTGTTTCACAAACAAAAAGCAAAAAATATTAATCTCTAAACCTATATAAAAAAAAAAATCTATAAAACATATTAATCTCTAAAACTAAACTTAATGCGCACCACAGCTGGTGGTGGTGCGGGGTGGTCGACACCCCCCCCCCCCCCCACACACACACACACTGTTTTAAATTTTGTTTTTGACGTGCTGCATGTTTCTTCACATTTGCAGTTTAATAATAATAATAACTAATGGTTTAGTTTTTTCTGTGACTTATTTGCAGTATGATAAATGATAGGAGCATAATACACACTCCCAATGTTTTGTTGGTTGAGCAGCATTTTACACTGAAAACACTTCACCCTCCAAACCTCTAGTGGGCGACTCTTTCTGCTTTAAAGAGAGCTGACACAAAATGAGTCTGTGGCTTTGACCGGAGGGTCTTGCAGTAAAAACACAACACAGCGTTCTTTTCACAGATCAGAGAGCAGGTTTCTCTCAAGCTGACCAACACTTACTTTAACTTTTGACGGGGGTGGGGGGGGGGGGGACTTTCGACGGAACTCAGCGTTTTGCACAAGCGTCCAAATACGGCATCACTACGGCAAGCTGGCCTTAGTTAGCTTGTAGCTTCGCTTCTTGGCTCTTGAAGAAAATATTTTAACGCCACTTACACACGGTTTTCAATTAAAAAAAGTAACGATTAAACTGACATCTATGATTTTTACATCAGACAGCATCACTGTGGTTAGCCAGTAGAATACAGATCTCTATCATAGGCTAAATGTCTATCGTTTCTACAGTGTACCATATATATTGTACATTCCTAGTATGCATGCATGTATAAATAAATAAATAAATAAAATAAATAACATATATAATAAAGTAAAAACAAGTAAGATGAAGCTTAATCAAGTGCAGCTCTAGTTCAGTGGTCTGACAGCTGCAGGGAAGAAACCGTTTCTGAGCCTGGTGGTCTTGCTCTGAATGCTCCTCAGCCGCCTGCTTGAGGGGAGGGGCTGGAACAGACTGTGTGCAGGATGAGTGGAGTCCTTCATGATACGGAGCGCCCTCCCCCTGCATCATGAAGTGTAGAGGTCCGAGGTGGTGGAAGGCTATTCCCCACAGTCTTCTGTTCAGCCTTAACCACCCTCTGCAGAGCCTCTCTCTTAACAGCAGTGCAGCTGCCGTGCCACACGGTGATGCAGGTGCAGAGAACGCTCTCCACCACATGAACCACTACAGCTTTCTTATTCATGCATGTGCCATTATGAAACTTCAGTTTCACATTTGTTTGCTTGGGAAGGGTGTAGAACCCCAATTGTTTTTTTTCCAGCAGCCTATCCAGCAAAAGACAAGCAGCTTTTGTTGTAAACGTGTAAAAGCAGCAATTTATCTGACCTAAAAAGATCTGGTGTTTTGTCAAGATTCTAAAACATTTTCTGCTGCTAAACATCAGAAGTAAGAAGCGGTTTAAGTTCGCTTCTCATGCTCAACCACCGGCTAAATACTACTGCTGGAGCAGCACAGGAGCATGTCACCAGCAGCACAACAATTAATCTGTTACACAAAGATATAACCTGTATGTGCGATAATCCTGCTTGCTGAAGTCTACAGATTGTTCTTCGTATTTAAGTGCATCTGATGTGTTCAGTTTCTATGAACCAATTCAACTTTAATCATCTGCAGGGTGGACAATGGACATAAAACATAACTGATTCACTCTCTATGGAAACTGTCACAAGCATCAACAGAAAC